GGGGTCAAGGAGCACCCCCAAGCTGCGGACCCTGTCCTTTAGGGGGAGTGTAATCCCGTCTAAGGCAGGGAAATGGCCCTTTATCCTATCTGGCGGGGCACCTACCAGCAGCACTTCAGGCTGTCTGGATTGAGCCTTTATATCGCACTAGGATGTGATACCTCCACCAGCTTTAATGTGACTTCAGTCAAGTACTTGGTGGTAATACTTACTTTTCCATAGTTGTGCTTTGAAGTACTCAAGCAGCAATCAGATCAGTAAATATCCACTGGAGCTCTGTATTTTATTCACTGTATTATTTGCAGAAAAAGGGAGAAGAGGGGGAATAGAAGGAAATGCATCTCTCTTAACAATCTTAATCTAAATATGCTTAAATAAGATATGTCACACAAAATTAATGGGATTTACTTCTTAAGCTTGCATGAAATTGCAACTGTACTATTTGGGATCAGCCTTTTCAAGGTAGATGGAGGTGTTCATTAATGCTGGATTTCTCCCTTTTGTTGTCAGGAAAGATGAAAAATGACCAATTAAAAATCGTTTTTCAGATGCAAGCCATGCAGCTGTCATTTGTGGGAAGATGGCTGCTACACAGCTCTTTAAATTCCTTCCTAAGGCGCACAGTTTTTTCCCCCCTTCATGTGGATGATTTCTATCAAGGCTAGGCTTTTGAACTGCCATGGTTTTGCTTCTCAATAAACCAGATGCCACTTTACAGAAAACGACTCCTCTGCCTTTGTAACGCTCGCAACAGATGAGGACCGTGATAAGCCTATTTCCTTTTATAATGTGAGGGGGAAGAGGAAATTATCAGTCACCCCGAACTTGGGAAAATTTTCCATATCACAGAAGCAAACTAAAAATGGCTTTCATCTAGTGAATACTTGTCTTTCTCCTCCACTCTTATCCTCCTCCTTCCTATTCCTTATTTAACAACCTTCCATTTAATCTGCTCGATTTAGGCAAAATTCTCACAGGGATGGCCACGCTGTGTGTGGGCTCCGTTGTTCAGACTGGAGGTCGAGGCTCGCACGATTGACTCTTCTCCCTTAGATATTGCAGGAAACCGGCCTGTTAGTGAGATGGCTAGGCCTAGTTTCCTTGACATATATGTGGAGGGAAGGGTTTGCATGGAAGGAGCATAGAGTCAGTCCACTACCTGGCTGTAACCTGAGGTTTTACAGCCCAGCCCAGCCCAGTGTTGATAGCCTCAGTAAGTCTCAGTAAACAAGGCCTTCACAGTACACCTACTCAGGTGGTTTCTACCTGTGATGCAGAATGAGGTTACAGACTGAGGTCAGCTGATTGAGGTCTAAGCTGTGCCACTTTGGCATGGCATGTTGTGCCATTTTTCTGCACTCACCACATTAAAATGACTCCCTGCATATGGTGAACTAGCACACCAATGAGAAGGCTTTAGGACTGCAAACACTATTGCTTTTGTTTTTAAAACTAAGTTCAAAAACATTACAGATAGATATGTACACATGTGATAAAATACAGATTTTTTTACTTCCTTGGCCTGCCACCTCATTCCATATGACAAGGAGAATGACTCCCCGGTCTTTTTGGTCTCATTTTCCAGAGTGAGTACATTATAGTTAAATCTTATTATTTGTACCTGAATATGCCATTAAGTCTGAGGAACCTGTATACAGCCCAAGGTTCCTACTAAACTGGGCGCATGCCTGTCTCTACCTCCCTGCACGCAGCTGTCTTCCTCCTCCACACAGCAATTGCATTGGGTTCCAGTCACGACGGAACCCAGTGTGCAGGGGGTGGGGTCACGTGCATACATGGGCAAAGACGTGTGTGTGAGAGAGAGGCGGAGCCCCACCCAGCGGGGCTGAAAGTTAGAGGGTATGTTGATATAGCCTGTTTTCAAGACTGCCTAAAGACCAAATAAGAAGCAAGGCAGGCTTGTTAATCCAGAATCTTATAATAACTGGTCCCAAGGTAAAATCTGACAAGGTTGGAGCTGGCCAGAGGCAAAGCCGTGTGAATTCAAGTGGGTCAGAATGAAGCCTGTCTCAGTCTGCGATACAAGCATGGATTTAGTAGATTACAATGTTGTGTCACTTTTTTAAAAAATGGAATGTATAGAGTCAGCCGCATTGATCAATATGGAGTCTGAAATCAAAACGCTATGTTAAGGTGATACCTTTACTATGTCAGCGAAAAAGGGGAGCAAAAAAAGAGAGAGAGAGAGAGAGCATGACATAATCAAGTTTATGAGAAAATAATTTATTGTTGGCAGTACAAGGTGACGTAATGCATAACTTGAGCAATTAGCTTGGCAGTGATGGATCAGGTATCATCCTCATCCAGCCAATTTTAAGCATTGTTAAGTGTCAAGATTTCTGTGGAAATCAGTGTGGCTTAATATGACTATTCTTCATTTGGATTATGTCCAGTATAATTATGGAAAAAGGCGTGGGAAGGCAAACCAAGAAAAACCTATAAGTCATTTTACGGTTAGCCTCTTTATTTAATTTATCAGTTAATAATTGCAAATCAAACTGCTTCTTTCAGTAGGCAAAAAGAGCATAATCTCATTCATTCAATGGGGAGACACACATGGAGAACAGTGATCTTGGAAAAGTATCCAATTTTAGTTAGATCAATGCCAGTCTCTCTCTCTCTCTCTTTAAAAGATATCTATATCACAAGAGATCTTAAAATAATGTAGCTTAGATATTTTATGCTTTTCTACATCCTTTTCTCCTCTATGTACATGTAACTATTTTTGATCAATGCAGGTCAGCAAGAGGGTGGCATTCAGAAAACACATCTTGATGAAATCTGGAGAAGATCAAAGAGCATACATTAACGATTTCAGCAACAGTGTTGTAAGGAAGCCTGTCATTCAGAATTCTTCAAATGATTGCAGCTCAAGCATTCATCAAGGCCTATCATTGCTCAGCCAGTTTGATGTTGAAAGCAAGGCAGAAAGAAATAACTCCTTCAGGAATATGACATTTCTAGGTGATGTGGGTACGCATGAGGATGGCATTGAAGTGCCCGGCAAGGAGACATTGGCTTTGCCATATTTGGGGATTTGTCACACATCGTCCATGGTCAGTGACCAGTGTGTAGGCTCTGCCATGGGCTCTGAGAGGTATCCTCCCATCCACCAAAGAGGAGAACTATCACTTTCAGAGAAAGCCGGTTTATCTTGTTCCCCTGACGTAGAAAGTGAAGGTGGGGAATACTGCTCTATTGCAGAGTGTTGCGGACAGAGTGCTGTTCACAAGAGCTTTGACAATACCATGGTCAAAGTGCCATGGCTTAAAAATGAAAACCCTCCTTCAGAGACCCCAGGTCAGGATGCTGCAGTGAATGCAGGAACCCAGTCATGCGAAGTGAATATCAGTGAAGGGGAAATCAGGATCTCGAGTTCAGATTTAGGTTTGCAAAAGGGGACTCGTCCTCCACACGAGTACATATATAACCACTTATGCCCAGAAACAGACACAGTAATATTTCCTTCGGACACTGAACTAAAAAGCAGAAAGCCTTTTGATTTGCCCCAGGGAAATTATTGCCGTCCTCAGGTCAAGGAATTCAAACAAACTGAAAAGAAGGCTGTAGAAAATGTAAGCAATTTTGCTGAGCAAGAGTTTTCTTCTCAAGTGGACCGTCAGAATGAGCCTATCTACGCTGAGAGTACAAAAAAGAAAAAGGCCCAGCTAAATAATTCCAGTATGCATGCCAAAAATGCTGCCTCGGCATACAGCCCATGCAGAGATCAAGAGGATGGGCTCTGGGGAAAGCGGACCTCCCACGTGAGCAGTGACAGAGAGTTTCCAGACTCTGCCTCACAGGTAGCAGCTACTATTACCATTATGGCCGCCCATGCAGAAGACGATAACCGGACGATCTTTCTGAGCAGCCCAGACTCTGCTGTTGGGGTGCAATGGCCCTGTGTTAGTCCTACTTCTGATCAGGAAAGCGCCAAGACATCGCCTTTTTTTGAGTTGCTTCAAGCAGGCAGTGAGACGAGCACAAGGGTCAACAGTCCAGGTCTTGAGTCCCAAATAGCTAGCAAGAAACTCATTGGCGAGAGTCCTGCCATTCCCCCAAAGATGAATAAAGGGAGCCCCCCCAGAACAGAAGGGTCCTTCACACAATCAGTCAGTCGTGCTGCAGAGACCTCTGACAGCAATGGCCACGAAGATGTCGCTGTTCTGAGCCATGGTGGGTTTGGACCCTCAACCTCCCTGGGAACATCTGTGAACAGACTCTCTCTAGAGGAGTCTACTACTAAAGGGCTGCCATCCTCAGGTTCGGAGAGACGGCAAAAGTACTTCAATCTGGCCTGGAAGAAGCAGTGCAGGATAGAAGAAGAGGAGGAGGAAGAGCACGGGCTCTTGAAAAGTCCTTCGGAGGTAGAAATGGAGAGTGGGGCAATTAGATCTTCAAGTATTTCTGAATGCCATCGGGGAGGAAATTGCTCTGTTCAAGATGGCAGGACTAGAGGAATAAGCAAATCAGCATCTTTTGCTTTTGAGTTCCCTAAGGAGAAGAATGGAATTGAGGGATTCGCACCACCTCCTCCACCTCCAAAGAAACAATCCAGGTACAAAAATTGAGGCTTTGTATGCATGCTTGTGTTGCTGACATATATATATATATATGTACTTGCATGTAGTGCAGGGAGGTAACTCAATGGGGGTGAATTAGAAAATGCATGGTTTTCTGCAGCTATCCTTTTTTGTATATACTCCTTTCCGCAATCCAGGCCCCTTTTAGAAATAATAAGATGTTGTTCTGGGTGGAAATTTTGTATTTCTAATACCTGGATTTCTTTCCTAACTAAAAGACAACTATATTAATGTGGCTTAATACCATTATATGCTGAATGGTCATATCTTCAGATGGGAGTAGGGGAATACTGCTACTGTAATTGATTGAGCTTGCCTTCATAATAGGCTTCAGTCCTTTACCCTGACATGCCTATCTACAAAGAACATGGGCAGCTGATACCCTTGCAGACTGCTATTCCCAGAATTTCTTATGATGCCTTTTGTTTTTTATTTGCCACATCCTTCTTTCTAATAAAGTAGTTTACTAAATAGAGTGTTTCATCCAAAGGAGCATTTTAAAAATGTGACTTATCCCAATAACTTGCCAGCTCACTGTTGCCTCATTCTTTGACATAACAGCAAACTCTTGTCTTCAGACGTATGATGGTGTCAATATTCATACTCTTCTTCGGAAATCTTTTCACCACAGAATCAGAGACCGATTTCTTTATTTCTTTAACTGTTGGGAACTGTAAAGGCAATATTCCTTTGTGTGAAGTAAACTCCTAAGGAGGTGTGTTCATTTTAACAAAGTAGAAGAAAATGGGAGGAGAACACCAGCAAATAAGAACAGCATCATGGCCTAGGCCACAATGAATATAGGCTGTTTAGTTGTCCCTAAAGAACGATTTTAATCCACAACATTTTGAGTGACAGGATTTCGGTACAATAACATTTCATAGCATCTCTCCGGAGTCTTCTGCTAGTTTTAACCAGGCCAGTAAAGTCTCTCGCCTACACAGTACACTGGAAACTACTAGCAGCATTCTATGTGGGAAAAATACTCACGGTGACTCCTGTACTGCACATATGATATGTGAATCAGGCCCTAAGTTTTGTGAAACTCTTTTCCCCCTTTCCACTCTGTACTGCAGTTGATGGATAAAAGTGGTGTTCGGGGCGATTTTGTAGAGAATTGGTAACTTTTCTGGAACACATTTGCCTCCAGTGAAAGCAAAACCACATTGTCAGCAAAGGAAAACAGATGTATATTTTAAAATGTTCACCTTTTGGAAATAACTTCATAGTATTGCTGTGAATATTGCAAATGCTCACTCTGCTGATCTGCTCCTTCAGTGGAGTCAAGCAGGTGGTTATAAAAGAAGGTGCAGTGGTGCCTCACATTGCAACGTTAATTCATTCCGCAAAACTCACTGCAGAACGAAAACGTCGCAATGCGAAATAAAAAAGCCCAGAGAAACTCATTAAAACTTAATTAATGCATTCCTATGGGCTTAAAACTCACAGTTCAGCAAAGATCCTCTATAGCACGGCCATTTCTGGTGCCTCTTAAGCGAGGAATCTGTGCCAGAAAACAGCGGGCGGCCATGTTTTTTTCCGGGCGGCCATTTTGAAACCGCCGATCAGCTGTGCGAAAATGGTTGCTTTGCGATGCTCGGTTCCCCAAGCAGGGAACCGATCATCGCAAAGCGAAATTCCCCCATAGGGAACATCGCAAAGCGATCGCTTTTGTGATCGCAAAAAATGCGTCGCAAAGCATTTCATCGCTAAACGGAGCGCTCGCTATGCGAAGCACCACTGTATTGGTTATTTATTTGGAGGATGAAATATTAGCCATGGTTAAAGGATATTGTTCTTGGGATAAAGTAGTGAGAATTACTGGGAAGAATGAAAGCGCATAGTACATAATCTTACCTAGATATTATGTAGTGCTTTTTGTTTCCCATTGGAAATCCTCTGGTTCTTGCCACCATTGAATTTTCAGGGGTAGGCGAAATTTATATTAGCAGAATCGTCTGTCTTGGACTTGAGTGTTCCCATACAGAAGCTTCAACACAGCAAGAATCCGACCTATATTATGGCTGTTATTTGGAATGTGTTTATAGGAACCAGACATCTGCTCCCTGTCACCCATGCTGTGGTGACTTCTAGGTCAGATTATTACACTGTGCTGCCTTTGAAGTTAGGCATTTCGCGGGAGCTATTTGTTTTCATGATATAGACAGGTTGTGATCAAGCAAGCTCCCCTGAGATTTGGGAGCGAGGCTACTCCTCTTTCAGGACATTACACTTTTGGCAAGACTGGCATTAGTTCCCGGTTTGTCTTCAGTTTCAATTAAACTATTCTAGGCGGAAGCAAATTGGACAGTAGTGGTAGGTCTCTGGGCGACTTGCAGTGAGTTGTCAAGGCTTCAGGCTCCCAGTTGTTAGCGAAGATGGCTGCATAGAGAAGAAAGAAGGTCGGCCTCCTATCCCATTAATAACTGTGTAGAAGAGAAGGAATCAATAGGCAAAACCTGCATGAGAAAACCTCTTTTCCTTGTGACCACTCTAAATAGCTTGATGCTTTAGATTAGTTCCAGTAAATGGAAAAAATAGATCCCCAAGGCCCCAAGTCTGCCATTCCTGGCCTACATATTGTCCACCAAAAATCTGAAAGAACACCTTTTTCTTTATAAGTTTGATAATGTTAAGATTTGGTTGTGCGTTGGGTTGGAACAAATGCTATTTCTTCTCACTTGGGGGGGCCTAAGAGGATTGTGGGGAGGGGGTCCTTGATCCTGTGGCCTACGCCTAGTCAGCCCCATTACATGCAAGTGTGGCGCTCCACTTTCACAGCAATTACCAGCCGAAGGCCTTACATGCATAGGAGTTAACGTTTGTGCAGGCTGCTGAATCTGCCCGGTTTGCGTCATTTCCTCCAAACTTAATTCCATGAGCAGCTGGACAAATTGCATGGAATTCAGTGCCCTATAGTTCTAGACTTTATGCTTCTGGATCTGTGAACTCTAAAATTGTGATGGAGTAGCAGAATGAACACTGTGAAAGTGTCTTTTGTTTTGGTTAATGGTCAGTGAACACGTAATCGTACAAAATCTAATCATCCCTTTTGTGTCTTGTGTGGAAAAATGGGCCTTCATGTATTACACAGTAATTTAAGTGTTGCTCCAGGCAACACTTGAAAGGAAGGGAAGGGGGTTCGCTGGGAGAGATAGTCCTTTGCATTCACTGGGTTATTTTTAGTACTCAGAGCTATGATGACCCTTTTGAAAAGCAACTGTAGAAAAGAGAAAATTGTAAAGATGGGCAACCTCTCTTCTCCCCTTCCCCCTTAAACCAAATTCTAAATCATGGCAAACCAGATTATATCTCTAACCTAAATAGAGAGTATTAAACCCACATTCCTGTCTATATTACTTGGGAGTAAATCAAGAAAATTTACTTCCATGTGTATTTTCATACATAGGACTCAGTTGTGCATACAGTATTTACTTTGTATATGGGAGTGTGTACGAAATTAAAGAGGGCAGTGGACTTGTTTCATAGTCATGAAACATGACGTGGAAGTGAAACGGGAAGGTTTTCTTGCTACCTTTTTTCTGTGGCAGGAAGAGGTTCCCATTGTTCATTTTTTGTTTTCTGGTTATTGCGAAAAGCAGAGAAATAGAAGGAATAAACAGGTGGCATCCTAGAACATTTCTAGACCAGATATTCTTTAAAATATATTAATATAAGAAAATCTGGTCATCTGAAAGAAAGTAAAAGAATTTGATTTAAAATCCCCACCAATATTGTCTGAGTTTAATCAGGGTGGGTTTGATTTAAATCAGATTGCTTTCAAAATTATAAAATGGGATTTTTTTTGTGGTAGGTAGAATGTGCTAAAATCTAGGTAGCTGGGTTTGATTTAAATCAAATTGCTTTCAAAATTATAAAATGGGATTTATTTATTTTTTTGTGGTAGGTAGAATGTGGTAAAATCTAGGTAGTAATAGCAGTGTGGAAAATCTAGGTAGTAATGGCCGTGTGGAAAACTTCTCTCTTAAGAATTTGCAAGAAAGCAGGTTTAGGACAGTGTTTATTCAATACTGGCCAGTATTGACAGCCAACAGCAAATGTGTGTAAAGACAGTCTACAAAACCAAAGATAGTACATAGCTATATAAGAGACACACAAAGGACCATAAAATCATTATCTGTAAATCATATGATAAGGATTTTATAAGATTCAATATCTCTGGTATATTCCACTAAGATTTAGTTGAGCATGCCACTAGATTATGATAAGAAAGGAGATGTGGCACTCTAGATGTCAGTTTTTATATTACTTCAAAAGAAATTTTAGAAGTACTGCTATGTACTGAGGAACAGGGTTGGGGGCAGTTGGCATTATGCCGTAAGATTTGCTCCCCATTTTATATGGATTTTTAAAAATAGTAGTGAAGTCCAGTGATTTGAATATTATCCGTCTCCTGTAGTGGGGAAAAAATAACAGTTGCCTAAGGATAAAGAGGAAATTAACTCACTTCCTTTAATGTATTGGTATTATGTATGTCAGGGAAGACAGACAAATACAGTACCTAGTTTGCAAAGTAATGGTCGCTATTCTCAATTTACTAAAAAAAATGGACAAATGTATGGTTAGTTAAAACCACTGCGAATTAACTATATAATGGCACTTATAACCTTTGAAGGGCCGCTAATAACTTTAAAACTTGTGGCCTGATTCCAGAGCACTGTCAACATGCTGACATTGCAAAGAGCTCCAATGTTAGGTAGCTTCCAGGGGAAGTGGTGCCACTGTCCACACCTGGAGCTGTCTCCAAGGTTTAGGGCAAGAATTATTTCCTGTGTTGGAAGCCCTGTGTGTGGTGCAATTGATGTGAAAGAGGACAAGCTTCCTCAGCCTTGGAGAGCTGTATAGGAAAGGGATGTCGCTAGCATTCAACGTGTCATGGAAGGGTGAGGGGAAGCTGCATCCACTGAAATTCCATCTGCAACACAAGAGCCCGTAAAGGTTAAGGTTTGAAAAA